AAAGAGAAGCAAAAATACAGGATTGAACCCATTGCTCAAATATTACTACAACTGGGAGGTCAGTTCAACAAAGATTGATTCATACTTTTGCAATTTTGTAATCCCTAGCCATTGTATTGTACGACTGAATAAAACACACACACAGACATCTTCCCACTTTGGCATCGATGGGTTCCCTCGCCGTCCAAACCAGATTCCTCCTCCTCCGCTTCCTCAGTTCTTGCAGCCATCTGGGAGATGTTTGTGCAGCAGAGACGACTCCACTGCTCTGAAAGCTGCTGCTCATAAACACTGCCAACTGCCAACTTTCTGACTGACAACACACACACACACACACACAAAAAGACACAATGGATGTGCTATTTCTTTAAGCAACACACCCCATGAAGCGTCTTGGATAGAGGGTGTCCTCAACCCCCAGCCATGACTCAGCCAAAACCCCCTGACTACCCACCTCACCAACCGCCGGTGCCTCTGCCATGCTGTGTTTGGTGTAAAAACAAACTCCCTCAGTGTGATCCCAAGCTGAGCTAACAGTTTTCAATAGCTTGTCCTTCACCGTCGTCCCGTCCAGCGACACCTCTGGGTTTCTGACAGCCCCGACGACAACTCACCCTCAGTTATTTTATTTTGTCCGAGCCCTCCGGCCATGGATCAGCCGGGAGTTTGAGAAAATACCACCATGAGAGGCGAAAGCAGTGGGTGGGGGGGGGGGGCTTTTGCTGGGTTGCAAATTGGGGTTGATGATGAGAGATGTGGCACGCAGGGAAGGGGCTTCATCCCATGTGATGTCCACATGTGCTGGCGGTTTTCAACGACGCTCCAACAACAACGGCTGTAGGTTGGTACAACAATAAGCATCCTGTCAGACGAGCGTGGGCACTGAGAAGGCCTGTTTGAATGAGGCAGTTATATTATAACAGATTGTGAACCAACGCAGTGAGAATTACCGCCCTAAAGCATCCCCTGCTTTATGGTCTGTTTGACTCTAAATGGACCATAATGTACTAAATGAACATCATGCTGTATAGAAGAAGACTTGAAACTAGAGATTGAGACCATGAACTCATGTTTACAATGTTTACTGAGGGAATAAATCAAGAGAGAAGTAGAGTCATTTTCTCATAGACTTCTATACAACCAGAGGAGTCGCCCCCTGGTGGTCAGCAGAGAGAATGTTCAAGGCTCTTCCGCATTGGCTTCACATTTCAGAACCGGAGGCTTCCACTAAATCCCACACACTGTGTCTTCAAGTGCAAAGGTCAAAGTCACAAAACCCTGTCGATTATCTAGTATGACACGGTTGGTCTCATGAGCTCAGCTTTGCCTCCATGTTCATCTCCTTCCTCCCTTTTTTCTGTAGTGATTCTCAGGATTTTCTCACATGCAGCTTTTGGCTCTCAGTACTGAGCCGGCAGAGAAAACAAACACACTGTCTCCCAAAAACGTCTCAACCCTCTGCGGTTTTCTCACCCACATACTCCTCCCAAGCCCGCCACCACATCACCCTGTTTGTTTGTGGAGTTTGAGGGAAGCTGTCATGATGTTACCACCAGAAAGCCCCCCCCCCCCCCCCCCTTTCTATCCTCCTCCAAGCTAAACAAAGGAGATCAACTCATCTTTCCTGATGTTCCTGTCTCTGTGGATAGATAACTATGGTACCCATGTCTCCGCTCGAAGGAACCAACATCGCTGCTCGTCTGCTCAGCTGCCAGAATCCCATGAAAATACAATTGTCCTCGTTCCTTTCATGAGCCTGGGGATCTGCAGAATCTCTCCCATCCACAGATGATGATAACAAGGCTGCAGCTGCAGTGTGGCTGGCAGCCATCAACAAAATGCGGATTTGTTGAAACAGAACGAGGAAAGTAAAATAGCTATTTTTCAAGAAATAATAGAAGTTTGGGTGTGAAGCCCACATGACTCCTTTAAATAAAGATATCCCTGATATCTGATTGGCATCAGACAACCAGAGCCACTGTTATGAGATGCAGCCTAAAATGTTGAATTGTGTTTAGTGCAGATATATTGCGATCCTTCAGTGACATCTGCTGGTTTTGAAATGCTGGTGGAACTTACATGACACCAACAGAATTGATGAGGACACATTTTTTACACTTACAGTCAAATTTCAACTCAATGAATATAAATAGTCTGATAGTAATCCTTTATTTTTCTTCTCTGGTTAATGCTTTATGTTATTACTTAATTTGTTTCTTTTGGTCTGCTCTGCTTTAGCATACCCCTGGTTTACACTTCATATCTTTGTTTGGTTTGCTAATGTACTGGTATTTAGTTCTTGTCTGAATACTATTTATTGTTGTACACTTGTGAGGTAATGTTCGTTCATTGTGATATAGTCGGCCTGTGGGATATCATATGAGAGATATAGTGTCGTAGTGTAGAAATATAGGTAATACAGTAAAACATAGTACTTCAAAATTGCACTTAACCCTCCTGTTATGTTCGTTTCTCAGGTACAGCAATGATGTTCCCGGGTGCATGTTTAATCCTACAAAAGTTGTCAGAAACCAAAAAATCCTAATAAATATAGTTATACCTCATCACCAACACCATTACTAACAATTCAAGCCCCTTTGAGAGTGTTATATTATTATTATTATATAGAATATTATTACAGATAAGCAGTAGTTTAATACCACAGCTGGTTGAGGTGGGGCTATTTTATTACTACATTATACACTGATG